CTCTTTGTAAAAATAAGTTAGACTTTTTCTGGTTATTAGCCTTCAAACTTTACGTAATTAACACATTATTTCCGTTCATAAACATAGTTCAAAAAAAACTTTCTTGGTTATTATATTAAAAAAATACCATTTTAAACTTATAAAAATGTTTTGCTAGTTGGTGAAAATGACACGATAAATACTTTATTTTAAAAAGTTCAGTTTTAACTTTAACTATTAAGAAAAATGAAGGCATATATCGACACTTTTTTTATCTACATATTCTTTTATAAAGATAAGTTAAGTTAAATTTAGAATCCCTGATTTTAAAATATGTCGTTAATAGCAATTTGTTCATACTTAATCATTAGGAAACATCAACCTTAAACGCTAATTACTGAAACAAAATAATAATTTAGGTTCATAATGACATTAGAAATTTTACAATTGTTTATAGACATTTAAATTTACGATGATATAATTTATAGATATTTAAATTGAAGAGAATATAATTTTTAAAAAAAATCATAAATATTTAGAATAACTACATTAAAAAATATGTTATGAAATTAGGAGAATTTCAACTATATACTATATATTTTATTTATACTTTTTACTTACATTTTAATTTTCTTTGACTTTATCTATTTTTTAATTCTTTTCACCTGCCTTTCTTTATGAAGTAACGAGGCGGTTTCTATTTAGATAATGAATTTTTATAAAAGTTCTTTACGACAGAATAAACGTATTGCTGTTTTATATTAACTGTGTCATTTCGGAATCCATTCTTTACATAGTTGTTCATTTACTTTAGGGAACACGCGAAAAATTATACTTTTTCCTTTTGTTTTTATATCAGAATTTTTGCAAGTTGCAATCGCGCAAACTGGCATTTCGATAATAGTTTTAAATTCTTGTAAATTCACTGCAAAAACTGAGGAAAGTCATTATAGAAAATAACAAATGTCTTAGAATATCTCGCAAAAAGAAATGATCCAATATTAGTTAGAGCTAGTAAGGCCAAACGCTCCGTTCTTGAAGTAAAAGTGCGAGCTTTGCGCCAAAGTGACGTCACTGGAGTGACGTCGGAGGATCGGCACGGCGAGAGATACTTCAAAGGAGTGAACCAGCCCTTCTATTCTCTTTAGCCCTGCCCCGCACCCCTACTTGAAATAGTCATACCTTGTTACCATAGTCACCGCCTCAGGTCCAGACGCATATCTGGGGGAGTTCTTGTTTTTGACAAACTATAGGGAAGGAGTAGGGAGGATTTGCTTGCCGGATCTAAACCTTCCTCAACCATATCCCCCAGCTAGTTACTATAGTACTAAAAGTATTATTACAGCCAAGCTTTAAAAGCCAGACATCATGTAACTATTACCAAAGTAACTAGTGGAAAAGCCTGGGATTCCTTGTTGAATAATCCCATACCATATGATCTACCCAGACGGGTGAGTGTAGCTAATTATTGGCAGGACGGATATAAGCAGATTCTATATTGGATAAGACTCAGTTGGCAAAAATTGCAATTAGCGTTGAAGGAAAGCTCTCGACAATCGCCAAACAGCGATGCTCTCGTGTTTTTGTTTTGTTTTCAGTATAGTATCCTTTACCAAGTTTAATATGGATACGACACTTCATAGTTTTAAAGATGTTGATGTTCCCAAAATTTTCACGAATGTCATCGTATGAAATAAAATACTTAGCACGCATAAAACTATAGCTAAATAATAAATTTGGAGCGGTATTCAAAATTAATAAAATTTTCAATTTAATTATTTTTTTCTACTAAAGAGTTTTCTATTTTGCTTTATTATTTTTTTAAAAAAAATCTTCTTTATTATAGCACCGACATTATCGTTTGTCTCTGTTAACTCATATGCGTTTTGTTCTGTTTATGAAAATGATCAGAAGGTTTTCAAAATTTTAAAAAAGTCGTAATGAAACTAAGATAAATTTTTTTTATTTTATTGCGCCCATAACCATAATAATATTTTCATAACTCTTTTAAAATGTATTCAGAGTAGTGAACTCCTTTTCTTGCTCAATTAAAATTGTTTTTAATAATTTCACAACTTTTGATCCTTAAAAGTTATTGTGCGATAATTACATTAAAGCTAAAAATTGTTCATTTGTAAGATTTCATTATTTTTTATTGTATAGCACAGACTTAGTTTCCAATTCTATTCTGATAACTTATTAATATTGCTCGATTACATCATCTACAAATTATTTTTAAAATTTGTATTTAATTTTCAGACAGTATAAATTTTTTTAAATATTGTTCGACGAAGAGATTATTTTGCAATAATGCGAAAAGTTAATACTTATTAATGCTTTAGAATTTTTAGCAGCTACTTTGTACTATTTATTTCAGTTGCATATGCTCATTATACACAGTTTTTTTAATAATGCTCATAAAATTCATTGAAGAATTGAGTATTACTTTTGAAAATGCAAGTAGAATTTTTCGTCATTTAATAATTGTAAAACAAGATAAATAATTTGGTTTGTAAAAAACGAATGAAATTTTTTTCTTGTCATTGGTGTTAGTAATTGAAGAATATTTCAGTTCGTAAATATTAAGTCGAAATTTTTTCCTTTTAAATAATTTTTTTTGCACCGAAAAAAATGACTTGAATTCTGTCATGTTTTTTTCGATTTTGTCAATAAAAATTCCCTAAGTTATACTCCAAAAACTTATACATTTTTAATAAAACTTTCTTTTTTTATCATTTTGAAAATTGGATATTAAAAGTAGGGAAGAAATTGAGGATGTCCGATTTTAGTGAATTAGTAGTATATGCAATAAGAGTAATGTTTTTTTCATAGTTAATGAGTACAGAAAAGTCTTCTGCAGTTTAAAAATGAAAGGAAAAATGAAATAGAGAATAAATTTATAAATTAAGCATTACCTAAAAGAGGTTGCAATGTAGGCATTAAAATCGAAATTCCAAAGGGAAAAAAAATCAACACCTTGAAAATAACTTTTGATCTAATGATCGGACTTTTACGTTCTATGACTCAATCTTAATGGTTCGAGAGAGTGACCTGATATATGCTAATTAACTATAGCAGACGATATTTTCAGTTACGAAAATAGTCACTAAAACGCACTTACTTTAAATAAACATACCTTGAAAAAAACAACGAATTCGGATTTTTCCTATCCAGTATATAGGTAGATAGCCACTATCTGAGAAATATTTGTCCCAATAGTTTGGTCAATGACTATTTCTCAAGATTTTGTTTAAAACACAACCACATTTTCAAACGTAATGATGCAGATAGTACAAATCAAATTAAAGTCTTCACTGCAAATAAAGCTTTTACCTGAAATGTTCAAAGTAAAATACATTTTTAATGCGTCTATTATTTTTAATGGCATGATAGCCTAAATATTACATAACATTTTGTGTTCACTATGTAAAAATGAAAACTATATTAGTAATCATCCCTTTTTTCTCAAATTGGAATAAAAATTTATGTCAGCTGAAATCAGATCGAAAGTTTAAAAGAGTTTACTGAGAAATTTATTAACTTCTTGAAATTCAATGCTCTTGTAGACAGAGAGGCTGTGTACTACTGTGGCTATGTATACAACAGTGTACACAGTAAAGTGACAATAATTTATACACTTCTAGGAGTATAGGGCTGAAAACTACTGCCTCCTGGAAAATGGGGGCGGGGAATAAAAAGTAACCCTATGTTATTTGAATTGGAATTAAAACGCGCTTCTTCTTCCAGGTTTTCGCTCGGCAACGCACGCATACTATAGTAGTAAAATTTAATTTTAACTCTTTTTTGGAGATATTCCTTTTAGCTGTTGCAATTATAATGCAAGCTTTTTTCTTTTAAAATGTGTTATCTGAATTTAAAAAAGAAGACAAGAATCATTTTTTTATTTAAGAAAAGGCCATACAGAAGAGCAGATCGTTAAAAGCCGCTGGATTGGAAAATCGCTGCTGGGAATTGTATACGAATCAACAAGCAACTTTCGTTGGGATTCGAACCTGTAACGCTTCGATGTGAAACGAACTGGAGAGGCCTCACCATATATGGCAACGTTTCTTTTGAAAAGTAACGAGTAAAAGTACAAGTATTTTTTAAAAAATTAACGAGTAAAAAGTAAAAAGATCTGATATTTAAAAAGTAACGAGTAAAAAGTACAAGTGAAAGTACAAGAACTAAACAAAAAAAGTAACGATTTAAAAGTACATTTCTAGGAAATCGAAAATTCAAAGTAACCTAAAATTTTATTAAATAATATTCTTATGTTCTTTAATGTTTTTGCAAAAATTTTGTTATTTATTTAATTATTTTTAATTTTGAAAGTTGTGGATATTAATTTATTTTTAAATTCGGAAGAATATTATAATATAATTTTATAATACAATCGTATAATATAATTTTAAAATCAAATATAATTTTAATATCAAACTTCTCATGGATTTGCACGAAAAAGAAATTTTATCTATCGATTTTAATTTTTAGTTTATTGTTTTTATTTATTTAAATTACCGTTGATTTAAAATTTTTTTACTCTTTAGAAACACGTTTTAAAAGCACAAACATAATCAAAGCAAACACGGGGTTTCAGATAGCTTTGTGATCTTTGAGCTAGTAAAAAATAATTGAATGTGCAGTATAAGTTGAAACAGAAAGTATTTAAACACGAAGTTAGCTGTGAATGCATGTTTATTGCACATTAATTTTATAAATTAAAAAAAC